GGAAAGAGACACTATTTTGGAGCATACATTAAGCTTACTGTTAACATTAGTGCACTTGTTACTTTTGAGTCCTTCTGCTGCTATGTCTTGTGTATGGTGTACAGAATTAACAGCCTGTCACTATTGAATCATGGATCAAGCTACATCAGTATCCTTGAGTTCTCAGGATACGGAAAACAGCAGTGGTTGCGTGCCATTTCAGCACCCAAGCTTATCACGTGCAACTACTTTGCAAGACTCTGACACTTTAGCTGTCCTTCAGCAGCAGCCACAAAATGAATAGTAAGAGAATCTGTGTAACATTGACTGATTTTCTTTTCTTGAAGACATTTCTACTTCTAACTAGTATCAAACCTGCACTGTAGTGTACTTACTTATAGCTTTGAATTCCAGGAGGAGAAAAGCCACAAACGACCCTGCTATATGAAAACGCTCTGAGAATAGGGATATTCTGAGGAATTATGCCTTGTTTGTATCAAGAATTGCTCTGACACAAGGTAGTTTGACCACGCCTTCCACCATCTGCTAGTTTCAGTACCCCCATGAGTTGTGCTGTTCTATTCATTCCATTATGAGAGGCAATTTAATCTCATATAAGTAGTATTCCAGGCTTTACTGGAGACCTACTAGATACAGTCAATTATTTTTTTTCAGCTAATTTTTGTAGTATAGGTAGAGAACTCTTAACTCAAATTAATCCCCTGATCTTCAGATCTGGTGAAAACAACGTGCTCAGCACAACCAAAATCAATGACCTTAACTGATGTACTAGGTGAAGGTGTTCTTACAATAAGGGCAAGACAAACTGAATGGAGGCCTATAACAAAACAGCACATGGCAACAGTAATCTGGAGTTACTTCACTGTAATGCCCTAAACACAATCATAGAATGAAGTGCTGCTTACTTTCACTTACCCAGTGACTACTGGCTTCTAATCAAGCCTTACTGGTTATTATTTCTGCCTTCAGAAAAGACAAGAATGTAAACTTGTGATTTGATACTTTGTTTTCAGTCCCTAGCAAGAAAAATTTGTAAGTGCTGTTCAATATAAATAGCCAGCACCACATTATCTGGTGCAAAGGCACTGCTCTTTGACAAGTAAGAAGTGGAATCCTATTATATTAGCTATAAAGATACACTCACTGCTAAAAAATTCTGTGACAAGCTGGCCACAAGAAAGAAGAAAGACACCTTCTTGTGTGACATCCTAACTCAGCCCTTTAAGTCATCTAGCATGAATTCCAGCCAACGAAGACATCTGTCTATTGGACTAGAATGGACCCTTTTAGTAAAATCCACTGCATACCTGTGCAGCACTGTGCTTCCAATTCACATCTAGATATATTCACTGCAGTGTTACTTTCCTTAACTACTTTGTGTTTAAAGATAAAAAAAAAAGAAAAAAAAAAAACAAAACAAAAAACCTCCAAAACTCTCATTGTCTATTTTTATGACAAAAATAGAAAACTGCCGTGATTAATAAGACGTAGGAAATATAAGGTTTCCAGCTGGTTTATCATCAGTTGCTCAGGATTTAGAGTGTACTAGATCATGAATCTTCACTGTTTCAGGAGTCTGCTGGCAAGACCAAGACTGTACAGCCACTACTGGAGTTCTCTTCTGACAGAGTTGATCCTGACTGAAAGCCTGAGATGTTAGCTCTCAATCCATAGCTCCCTGAAGACTAACAATGATGCCTCCATAGCTAGGGGGAAAAAGAAGAAGAAAAAGAAGAAGAAAAAGAGGAAGAAAAAGAGGAAGAAAAAGAGGAAGAAAAAGAAGAAGAAAAAGAAGAAGAAAAAGAAGAAGAAAAAGAAGAAGAAAAAGAAGAAGAAAAAAGAAAAAGAAAAGGGAAAAAGAAAAAGAAAAAAGAAAAAGAAAAAAGAAAAAGAAAAAAGAAAAGAAAAAAAGAAAAAGACATTCATAACTTAAGTGAACAACTGATACAGATCTGTTTCTTTTCATGGGGAAGCTACAGGATTGTCCTTGCCTACAATGCTTGGAACACAACTGTTCTGGAGATTTCTGACTATTTAAACTGAAATTGTTTTCATTTGTCATCTAGATTTCCTACAGCTAAAGAGCAAAAATACTCCCTTAGTGCTTAGGACAACTACATATTATTTTAAAAGATAAACCTATTAAGACTACCATTCAAGGATACTAGAAATACAAACTGCCCAGCCCACTAACCCTTTCACTCCATACTGCTTGAACAACATGGAAGAAGAGATAGGCCATAAAACAAAACATATCATATGAATAAGCTTAAAAGAACACTGCATCCACTCCCATGTCTACTCTGCAACACAAAAAAAAAAAAAAAAGAAAAAAAAAAAGAAAAAAATTCACGAGATCTCCCCAAAAGTAAATCTGAGGATTCAGCAGTACAATAAACATCATACATGGATTATTATTCCTTCCACTCACCATTTAAACAGCAGTGTCTTTGCAGCATCCACTTTATTCTGTTTGTACTCTATTATTGCCAAGGCAGTCAAGATATGTGCTTTATCTTCTTCAGACTCAGCAACAGACAAGGCTTTTTCATAGGCTAGTAAAAATTAAGACTCAGAATTGAAATAGGAGAAAAATTATCATTTTTATAAAGCCTCTAGAAAGGCATGGTATTAGAATTTACACACAGGGGCACTTTGGCTTCAGGTTCACTATATTCTCACACCTCAAATAATAGGCAGAAAACCAAAAAAAAAAAAAAAGTTGACAAGGACTGTGGAAGTAACTAAATGTTAGAAATGCCAGGGCTGTTTAGAGCCTGGGAATTGTTTAATATTTAGCAAAGGGAAACAGAACTGAAAAGCAGAATTGGGATATCCAGCAAAGGCCTGAAAAAACCACAGTGTAAATACTCCTCTGTGACAGTTTATTTACAAAATAGTACTTCAGATGAGCACACTTCACTCCATCTAAAAAGTGAGAGGTACTTAAAATACTGAGCTGGCTGTTCCTTTGTGAGTGATTACAATTCTGCACTGACAATTCAGTACACATTTTTGTGAAGTCTCACATCTTAGCAGTACTGAACATGACCATACAAGCACTTGTATTTATCAAAAAGTGCTATGAACAACACATTATTCTCCTAACCAGAACTGATTTTTCCAGAAAAGCCATTTCATTTCAGAACAAGGGAAACTTCCCTTTGAATTAAAACATTTGAAGAAATGTAGTTTCCCTTTGTACATTTGAGTATTTCTAGCATCCTACTGAAGAGCCTATTGATTAAAATAGTTTTGTACTTATGTATTAGAACTGAAAGAGTGAAATAAACTGAACTACAGCTAGGTTGGTCAGACAAAATTAAAAATTAAGGTTACTCTCAAGAGATTTGTCCCATAATGCTTTGAATTAGACAGATGCTTACCTTTGATACTTTCTTGTAAGAGTCCTTTCTTGAAGTAGGCTAATGCTATCCCCACAATGCCATCAAACTTTGTTAAGGGTATTGATGTATAAACCTCAATGGCCTTATCACACTCACCAAGGGCACTGTAAAAACAAAACCAGACACTGGTATGAAGGATGTTGCCAGCATCTGCTATAATTCACAGAAGCTGTCCTTGTAGACCAATATCCTCTTTTCTACAACAGTTCTAAGCAGACACCCGGAAAGAGCAAGATTAGGACATGAATGTGTAATATTCCTCCTCCTGTTACAGCAGTTACTCCCTCCAACTCTCTTTTGCATGAAGAATAACTTATACAAAAAAGTCCTCCCTATCTGCATGACAGCTATATGTAAGGATGTCACTTAATGGTCACCATAACAGAGTGGAAGAAAATAGCAAAGGAGTAACATGAAAAAAGCACATCAAAAGTATGCATGCACACAGATAGTCAAGTGTCCATATAGACAGACATACAGCATTCTTGTTCTAAGACCACTGTGGAAGAAATTATACAGGACTGTGCTTATCAGACCTAGTTATTAGTTACTGGAGCCTTGCTCTTGCTTAAGTTGCACAGAGGAATCACCACGCATACAGCATGGATGTGACACCACAGGAAACTGAAAAGTTGCTTCTAAAATCTTCCCTGATGTTAAAGAATGAATTACCACAGCCTTGAAATTCTAGTGTCGTGTACAAAACCTGAAGAATATCTGAAGTTTTCCTAGAGAGCTGACATCTGATTAGCAGAGCTCGAGTTACATCAAAGAGAAGTTTGAAAATCTTCATCTGTTAAGACTTGTATCCTGCATTCCCTCAGAACTAGAAGGGAACAGTGAAGGGAACTGAGAATTCTGAGTACAACTGCAGCAGAAAAGGTCATCAGCAGATCACATACATGTACACAATACCTCCAACCCACATGCTTCAGGTTGTACAAGTCGATACAGATTCAAAGGGCAGGTAGAAGTGATTTTGAATAAACCTTGAAGCAGCTATTCTATTCTAACTAAGCCCACTACATATCTCAAGCGTGGATACTGTAAAAAAACCAATTTATTCTGGAGACCATAAACCAGCTACATTGTGTAGACTATGTTAAGGCACTTAAGTAACGAGCTAAGGATAAGGGAATCACTGATATGTTATAAACTATGAAGATACTGAGAAATCCCTTGCAATTTGATTTTTTTTTTTTTTTTTTTTTTTTTTAAATATACTACCCATTTCTGGAGCACATAAAAACTTCAGTCAAACATGTCTACAGTTAAATGATGTTTAGTAGATTATTTTTAACAACCACCTTTTGGCATCCCTCACGTTTTGCATGACTGTATTCACTACATCCAAAGCTGAAGTTAGAGGCTGGAAAAATAAGTCAAGAAACACTTACCACAAACACCTGCCACAGTTTTGCATTGCTATATTATATTTCTCAGTATCACCAGAATTTTTCAGCAATGAAGCTGCCCTGAAATTAACCACATTTAAGAATTATTACCATCTAACACACATTTTGACAATAGTTCTCACAATGGACAGATATTTTACGCAAAAGCTTTTCTATGCTAATGAAGTACAGAGCCCATTTTACTGCATCAGCAAATACATTCACCAAACACATTCCTTCACTATGTCCCCCTACCACTGAAAAGAAGGAAGAAGAAAAACAAGCAAAGCCAGTGCCCAACCACCTCCATTAATTAGAATGAGGTAAAGACCAAAACTAAAACTAAGCTCATTAACCTCCAAAATTTCACTTAAGTCCCACACAGTGAATTAGCTAAATGTCCTGCTAAGACATAGAAGACTAGGAATGCCCTTCCTTCTCCACTTCTGCATTCTGCACTTCTAAATTCGATGTAAGAACATCCCCACACCTCCACTCACAATACACTTAGTTGAAATGTACTGTTGAGAAAGTAAGGTTTACTAAACGAAAAGAAAAACCCTTAAGTTTTTCAGATGGTGCGTGGAAAAAGAGATCAAGAAGCTTGTATAAGTAAACTTTTAAAGAGCATGTAGTTTACCTCTCATAAGCATCTGCTGCCTGCCTTTTTAGATTCAGATACTCATTCAAATAACCAAGCATTGTGAAAGCAGATGCATCATCTGGATTTCTTTCTAGAAAATCAGAATTGACAGTATAGAGAACATGATCAGAAAGAGCTGCAAAAAACATACAAAAACATTGCTACACTGATGCTACAGTGTACACATATAGAAGAAACATTCTGCCAAGTGCTTTTATCAGTTGCTCACTGGAATCACTTTGGCAGGCTGCAGGCAAATACAGAAGAGAGATGAAGACCCACAACATGGCATCAGGTTAGCTAAAAAATGTTTAAAATTTCAAGACACAGCATTAACACACTCAATGGATTTTAAATTTTTCAACATGCAGTGTTTGGGTTTTTTAAAATGAAACAGGAAACTACTCAGCTCATATTGACTACAGTAAAATACTGGTAGAATCTTACAATTTATTTTTAATACTATAACTTTGAAATATTTATTAGTAACTAAGGTAGAGATATTACAGCCATCATCGCATCTCAGACTTTTAACCTTTTTTCCCAGATTAGGAATGATCACTTAGAAGCCTCCTGCAGTCTGTTTAACAACAGGGATTGGACAGACAAGTATATTCTCTCATTTTACAGAATGATTTGGGTTGGAAGGGATCTTAAAGACCATCCAGTTCCAACCCCTGCCACGGCCAGAGACAACTTCCATTAGACCAGG